GCACCCACCTAATATGCGTCTACGGGTCCACGATACCTGACCAACCAGATGGACGCTATCGACATGTGTCATAGTGGGTAGCCAAATAAACCCAGCGGGCACACACTACCAACATGCGGCCAGGGGTCCACAATACACGGCCCTTTAGGGGCCCAAGCCTCTTCAGCTGGCTCTCAATGTATCCGAAGCCGACTGTACAATAATTCAAAAACCTTATGACTATGCTGAAGTGAATATTTGACCAATAGCTGGTTCCCATGTCTCCTTAGGTGAAAATCCACCGGCCAGCCCGTGCTTCCTACACAGTCTGGCAATACGATGCGCTAATTGTACGAGACTCCTCGGATTAATGAAATTCCTAGCCGTTTTACTGGCAACCCACTGCCTTGATACTTTGATTACTCGCTGCACGACCAAATACCATGCATTTATCCATCACGTGTTGCTTCAAAACCTCTTCATGTGCGGAAGGGGTTGGAAGCTACAGGGCCCATAATCTCTCAACAACCGACAAGGTAGACCACTTCTGAAGCCAAGGCACCACAAGTCAAAATCGAATGAGAGAAAATAAGTGAGAACGGGGTTTAATTGAAACCAAACGCAAAAGATGAGTGTACATCAAGCTGATTTTCTGATCTGGGCACACATACAGCAAAATGCGGCATTTTTGCGTAAAAGTGTCTGATTCCGTCCAGAAAGGTTTGAAGAAAAGGTTATTTTGCTGCAAAGGACCAGGGTCCTGTTTAAACTAGGTTCTTGTGCCGTCCTCCGCGTCCAAACTGAATGAATGACATCTCGGAGACCGATTTTGTTCCGAGGTAAAAATTGATGCTTTTTGAAAACTCTTCCTACGATGCTTTGTTTAAGTTAGCCATTTTCAAGGTCAACATATTTGAAAAATTTTGCTATCTTGGGTGCAGAAGACATTTTGGCGTTCTTCTCATTATGTCGTCGATCGCGAAATTTAATGGGAATAGAGAGAGGGCGTTCTCAAAGGACAACTTTGATTACGGAAGCTTTTGGATCTCGCAATATATTTCCGTAAAATGTCCCCCTCTGCTGCTCCTCTTGTCCAATACGATGCAAAAGGCGCAGTAGGTAAGTCTCACTACAACTGCATTCCTTTCTCCCAAAATATACTCCTTCCGCATGATGCACCTCATAATCCGCCTTCTGCAATGAAGGGAGAGAAACTGATTCCGGTCTGAGCATTCCCTGACCGTGGCATACATCTCAAGAAATTGCCCTATGAACCGAAATATCCATTGATGGAAGAGGAAAAGATGCTAGGAGACTCACCCATTATACGTGATGTGACGCCTCGGAGGCAACTGGTTTTGCGAAGCTCCACGTTTTTCTTTGGGCTGTAGCAGCTTCATTCTGATGTGAGCTCATTGTACGATCATGCAACACCACTAGATATACCTTATCTCATGTCTCTGCAAGTTCCAAGCTACCTTAGTTGCGCGAAATCTAGCGAATGCACGTTCCTCACACACGTAAGTCCCGACTAGTTCGCATCGACCGCATACCTATTATCTGCATGTACATATCGATTACCGTTTTTGAAATCGAGCGCTGTCGCCTCATTAAAGTAGTTGAGAAGTAGTGACAACTTTTGGCTATCTATTATTTCAGGAGACATTCTAACTCACATCGATGTCCTTACCAGCAAACCCTTCGGACAATTTTTCCCATTTTAAGTCACCAATGTACACATGGCTGTCTTATCACCACTCGAATGGCAGCAACGAACCCACACGAACCCTCAATAGGCCCAAAAATATCCTAATTGCAATGACAAACATAAAGGGCTCATCTAAGTTGCTCATTTACGGGGCTGTTCATGGAACGAATTACCGCGTCACGATTACGGTACCGTAACTGCCATACCGTCTGATGGCTTGCCCGTAGTTCACTGTATCTCTTACATTTCACGGACGAGCGTGTCAACAACAGGGCCGTTTCAGTCCGTTTAATTTGTGCAAGGACTTGAAAGCAGTAACCATCGTATTGTGCCGTCTGCTTGTTCCGCCCACAAACCCAACAGCTTATCCAACGGCACGAATGGTGAGTCGGTATATCGGTAAAGACTAACCTTGTCTTAAGCCATATATATAACGTATGCTGACCATCATACAAAAACTTACTAACTGTGACGAATTCCTTGGCCTCAGCGGGATGCTTGTTGCAGCCATAGGAGAATTTTTCAAATCCAGTTTGCGAATGATCACACCAATTTTAGTTTGCGCGTACGTGATGGGCGTGATCCTTGTGTAAGTCGTTTCGAGATTGTTTACAAATCTAATACGTAAGAAAACACGCTCAGAATAAAGCTTTTACATAAGATTTCCCGTCGTTTTCATCCAGGAACTCGGCGAAATTACCGAAGCCATTAAAATACGAATTCCGCGCCCGAGAGGGCTCCGAGTTCGTTTAAACGACTTTCGATAAAACTGCGACCACGTAGGGGAGACTTTAGTCGTCCAAATAATTACCATCGAATGCTGAATCTTTATGTTGAAATTCCCCTTTCCCGAACCGCGGTTTCAGAGAAATTTAAGGTGTGCCTCCAAGACGCCGCGAGGATTATCTGCACAATGCTCTCAGATGCAGAACCTTTATAAAAAGAGCAAAACTTTGTAGACTAGAATGTTGCATTTTGTTGCGTATGGGCTCAATTCAAAAATCGTCCCCTTGTACATCCACTTTTTCAGCTCATCAAATTTCATTGTTCACTGAAACAAACGTGCCTGTGGCTAAAAATTCTAGTGGTATAAGTTACCAGCATCGCCGAGGCCCACTATATGCCTCAATTGAGCTCGAAACTGTGGAGTCGTACTCCGAACACAATTGCCCGTGTCCCTCAGGAACACGCCGCTGCTTTCGAAAATTCAATTTCATTGTGCGAATAGTGAGCGTCCCAGAAGCACGTACTGTGCATGCCTAGTCGAAAATTTCAATGGAAAGCAGGAAACATCATAAAACTACTACCAAATGGGTTATGCGCATCAACAGCCAAAAATCCACACCAATCAAACGAATGTGTAGAATAAAACGTGATGGTTATAGCACTCAATCTTGCTGGAACTCGAAAACTGAACGCCGGCGGTACATCCAAAGGCAGTTTCGTTTTCGCGCAGTTGCGTCCCGCGATCACGAGACTTGCTGCGTCATCCACATTCTGACTGGTTGATACCTAGATGGCGGGAACATTCAAAAGTGGCAACAAAGCGAGTTTGAGGTTCATGATTGACGCTCTCAAACGAAGCAATGAATTACGATGCGGTTGTGTCTTTAAAAAATTTACATCGCCAACGGATATTTAGATATAATAAAAGCAAAACGTATGGGATTCCCGACAGTTTCAGATAGCTTGGTTGTAAAGGGTGTAATCCTATATTTTGTTCCTAAAGTTAGCTACATCTCCAAAGGAAGACGATATTTGGGATTACTGGCGGTAACAAAATGTAATTAGTCAGAACAGCCCAGATTCAGCAGCTGGCGCTGGCGTATTGGTTGTTTGCAGTCAGCATCGTTCACACATTATAAAACATTTATTCGTTTGAATTAAATGAATAGCCTACGTGCAATGGTATATGTTTCTCTCAATGAATCCATTGAAGGCTATATATCCTTGGAATTGTGTTCGGTAGCTAAGGCACCCGATATATTCATTGACTGCCCTAGGTGAGAGACGCGATTTGTTCATGGACAGCCCTAACTTTGGTTTATAATGACAAAACCATCGGTGCGTCGTTTGGAGCCAACGGATCATCGATAGCGTCTGTGGTTGAGCTATAGCTGCAGCTCTGGCACCACCGGTGGCAAGCCACCCCTATTTGCCACCTTTGGGCACCGATACCCACCGGTAGTGCCACCGGCGGCGTGTTTACTGAGTGGTCACCTATTTTCAATTTCTGATCGTTCACCCCTTAACGAAAAGTATCGTTGTGGCATGAGGAAGGGTTTACCAATCATCTGAGCACATAGAATAGTGTAAGCAGTTGTTGACGTATTTAGTGAGCATTGTACGCTAAGCTTGGAATACCACTATTGCCATAACCTTCTAATGCGACTGTTGACGACACTCATCAGCTATGCCTAAAACAACAGCAACTTGTCGCCTTTGTGGGTTTTGAACCTTGAAATTCAGTTGTGGCTGGAAATCACTCCTTCCATTTTCGTTGGCCACTCTACATACTATGTAACAACAAGCGAGGTATTAAGTGTACGGTGCGCCCCTGTCATAGTCTCCGGAGGGAATAATACTTCTGTCGATTACGTAACTAGTAACACCGTGACATGAAACACCCATGAAGTGCAATGCGTGTTTCAGGCACAGTTAGGCTGCCAGGCTATTGTACACAATGCTAGACGTATGCTGTTAGAGGCGACCCTATGTTGCCCTAAAATGTTTCGGGACCACCCTAAGTCTATAGACGAGACCGGAAAATTACGCCCCCTTTTCTCACCTACGCAAGTTGGTCTTCAACTCAAGGCCTGGATACCCTGGTTGCCGTAACGCTTGCGCTGTCCGAAAATATGAAACCAAATTTAGGAAAACATAATTTTATTATGACTGATTGCAAGCAGATAACAAAATCGTTAAAAATGTGTTCCACAGTTGTGTCTGGAAAGTAAATGGGAAAAGAATTAGCGCAAGGCAACGGAATGAAAACGACAGAGCCCCGTTCGCTCAGCCTGCGGAAAAGAC